CTGTTGGTGGACATGTTGCCAGGAAAGCTGCATCCCTCATTGAAGGGGACAGCAAGGAAATGCCTGCTGTGGCAGTATGCGCAGGGATGGCCCTGAGCAGCAGAGCTCTGTCCCCACACGCTGCATCTCCTCCCCTCCACTCATGCCCCACTTGGAGTGTTGGAGCAGTGTAGAGGGAAGGGACCAGTGTACAGCGACACGTGGCTATCACTCCCATGCCAGAGCAGGTAAAATCACCCCCTGACTGTGTCTAGGGGAGCTGAGTTCTCCTAATGGACACGGGAGCTATGGTCTCACCCTGTCTGTACTCGTGTGAGCCTGACTCTGTGGCCCAGAGCTCCCCTGGAGTCAGTGCTGGAAGAGACACTGCACAGGGAAACTCTCCTCACTACATGGGGGGATCTGAGGTTGCTCAGAGCAGTGGGTTCTGAGTTTCCCCTCCCTTTGCTGTTTGCTGGTAAAGAGAAAAGCCCGGTGTTCTGCTCCTACAGGGTCCCTTTAGGAGATTGAAATTAGAGATTCCTGCAGAAGAAGGTATGAACCAGTTTGAATTTTTGTTTGTTTGTTTGTTTTCCTTTAAAGGAGTGTGGAAGAGCAAAAGCAAGAAATAAATAAATGAATAACACATATCCCCAATGTGAAATCCCCTGGGACAGATATTGTTGCTGGCACTAGACCAATGGTATGAGTTTCCTCAGGGCATTCTTGAGCCCCTCATTCCTTAGACTGTAGATGAGGGGGTTCATTGTGGGAGGCACCAGTGAGTACAGAGCAGTCACCAACAGGTCCAGAACTGGGGAGGAGATGGAGGAGGGCTTCATATAGGCAAGCATGACAGTGCTGACAAACAGGGAGACCACAGTCAGGTGCGGGAGGCACATGGAAAAGCTTTTGTTCTGGCCCTGCTCAGAGGGGATCCTTAATACAGCTCTGAAGATCTGCACGTAGGACACCACAATGAAAATGAAACATCCAAAGCCTAAAGAGGCAGTAATCCCAATGGCCGCAACATCCCTGAGGTAGGAGTGTGAGCAAGAGAGCTTGAGGATGTGGGGGATCTCACAGAAGAATTGGTTGATGACATTGCCCTTGCAAAGTGGTGTTGAAAATGTGTTCCCAGTGTGCAGGAGACCATTGAGAAAGCCACTGGCCCAGGCAGCTGCTGCCATTTTGA